ACAACTCAAAGTACTCTTTCAGACACTCATTTTCCTTTCAGTTGAAGCTGACTTCTTTGAGCTCACCACGATCAAGTAGGTCTTTCAGCCTGGCATCCAGAACAGACACATCTTTGGCACCTGTGATCACCGAGCTCCAGCCACGATAACACGGCTCCGTATTTCCTACTTAGAGCGTCCAAGGGATCTTAGCATAGTCTGGGCTGTCCCAACTCAAGATGAGCTCCTGCATCAATGCATCAATATGTTAGTTCATCTGGCGTGCATTTAAGAGATCCTTGCAGCGAAATTAAACGAGATTAATACTACTACTATCACTACTAGTATTTGTCAATTGTGACACGAAGCTTTGGGCTGTGTAATAAAGTATCATGTAGCTGTATACTTACTGAGTATGATACGGTGTCCGTGCGTGGGATATTGGTCTCGATTTTTACGCTACATTTCAATATTCATTTCGCTTACTGCAGCTTAAACGCCCAGCCTTGTCGATCAACGTGTCAAATAATGTTAAGAGTACGTATCTAATTAATCTCATCTGCTGAGATGACTTAATGTCGACACTATGAAAATAGATGGCTCCTCGTAAATGGACAACATCCGAGCAGGAGGTGTGGCTTGAACCGTGGTACCAAAAGTTCGCCGAAAAGCAGAGTGACAAGAGTAGAAACCACCAAAACTTTTTTGTGGACCTTTATGAAAAATGGTTCGAGGCGTTTCCAGAGCCTCGCCCAAATAATATCACTGAATTGGGGCCGTTAACACTGGGAGAATATGATAGTGCAATTCACACACGAAAAGCCGTAAGCTTCATTGAAATTTTCAAACCAACAACACTGAAAATGTTTGATAGAAATTACATACGCGATTCAAAAATAATTTTAGTGGGACAAAGGCAGGGCGACAAGCGAAAGCCAATGCCAACGACGTCTTTGACGCTGTTGTGCAGGAAGATAACTGAATGTGAAAAACCTACACGAATGCTTCAGGAACACTGAAGCTTATTCCAAGTTGTACTATGCTGATCGTGTTCAGAAATCCATCCAAGAGACGCTCAAGGTTGCACAAGCAACACAATCACTCACCAATGGTCAGCGAGTAGCGCTATTGAAAAAAGAGACCGCTACTCTGTATGCAGGCGAGTCTGAGGAGATCAAGGCTAAAGTGAGGGAGTACATCCATGCACAGAAGGAAGAGCGCGGTAAGGAAAAAGCCGAGCCTTGGAGTGATGAAGATCAGCAACAGTGTGTCCTGCTCGAGTTCACTGTGTAATAGTATCACCTGACATGCACAAAGGAATCTTACCAAACTGGCCACCATTGCGAATCAATTCCTCAAAGGCCTCGCTGATGCCACTGGTCTATCCTTCAGCCTTCTCGTTGGAGGTCCATCTGCCGAGTTAGGTGGAATGATTGATGTCTGGAGGTATGTTCTACATCAGAGACTCAAAACTCGAGAGTCGAAATGACACTCAGCTGGACAGCTTCCATGTTGGAATGACGAAGCTGGGCAATAATTTTAGTCAGGCTTACCCTAAATTTGAGAGCGAGATAGTGGGACCATTCCGAGATTATCTGTATCGTGTGTACCATAAGTGTCATCTTTGACCATCCGTGACACCTTGTACAAAAAGGCTTACCTTTTTGATAACAGCGGAGGCCGCAATACTGAAAGATCAGAAGATGGGGGGAGCAAGCAGCTCCAGATCATCATGGGGAGACAGCGTGTGCGATGAGAATCAATCGTCATATCCTGTGATGGATGAGCTGTCCAAGTGGGATAAATCTTTGTCAGGCACGTTGGGATCGCCGGATATATCCGAGTTTCCTTCTTCGTCAAATGCTCCCACACTATCCTCTCCAGTGTCAACGCTGCCTTTCAGTTCTGAAAATATCATCTCTGGCGACAATCAACCAAACTGGCAGCTGGCCGACGATGGGTTTGATGACTTCCTAGAGACATTGGCCCAGAATCTGCCCATGTCAACTGTTGACTACTTGATGTCACATGTTCCACCTTCGGCTGAGACACCTTCCGTTCCGGTTCCGGTTCCGGCTGTGGCTGAAACACCCTATTGTCCCCTTCCGCCAGTTTTCCCCCGTTCTGTCCATGGTGCTTATGTTGACACGCCCGAGCCATCTGATGGTATGCCCCCAGCTGATTCACTTCCTAGTGGATTCGCGCATCCCACCGCACACCTTCCTGGAAATGAGGAGCCCAACAGCAACAGGCCAGACGCACTCCCTCCATCTTCGATGGCAGAAGACCATACAGAGGACTCGTCTCCTCCATCCACCTCGTCCCACACTTCTGCTTCGGCAAATGTTGTGAATGAGGCTCAAGCGAATGAGGTTCAAACAGCGGAGGTTCAAACAGCCAAGGGGGATGACAACGGTGGACTCCGTAGAACAAGGCGTGCACACATCCCATCTACATGCAACAGCATCGCCAACTCAATCGGCAACAATTGCAAGGAGAACGCACTATTGAATCTGGCTTCAAAACGCAGCCATAACACTGATTCATCCGCTCGTGCGGGCCAGCAAGCGAAGTAAGTCTCTTCTTGTGTTTTTACATCTCTTCTGCTCATTATCTCGCACAGAAGGCCTAGAGTGTGACATCACACAGGAGAATACATCCTCAAGGGCTGATAGTACCTCTGCGGCATATGTTTAGAGTCATCCTGTACATTACTATACCTAATACTTGAGTCTTGTTGCTAATATACTCGTTCCTATTGACCAATCAACTCGAATTTGAACATTTAAACACGGTACTGTCTGAACTTTGAATGTTTGGTGCGCAGGCTTCTCGATGATAATGATAGTTATGAGTCAAACATGCGAGTTATATACATATGGGCCAAGATGCAAAATATTAGCCTATTCAAAACTCGTAGTTCTGGTACAAGAATCCGTTGAGCAAATGCACGACAGCTAACTCAGCATCTCCGTCACTTAGCGCGTGACAGTAAATGTCTTCCATCATGGCAATGGTGTCCCTCATGCTCCGGCAAACTTGGTCTGCAGCACGCCACTCATCACAAACCCCGCATAGTTGAAGGATGCCATCTTGCCCTCGAGTAGCTCTCTCGAGGAAGTCCTCGATACTCGACATGGCACGTTTGAGGATTTCTCGATCCCCGTGGCCTCCAGGAGCGTCCGGAATAGATTTGGTGTATTCGGCGAAGACGCCCAAGGTGAAGGTTTGCGGCGATCGAACATGTTGCATGAAGTCGTCCTTAGCGTATTTGACCACGGCAATGCAATCAGCCAACGTCTCTCTAAGAACAATATTATATACACATCTAAGGCATTAATATTTAGAACTCACAGTGATTCGTGGTGATCATCTGAATGGTCATCCGTGCGCTCGTCATTGCTGCTATCACCGTCCCCTTGATGGTTTTTGTTAGCATGGTATCTCTCCCTCCTCTTTGCGAGGATCATCTCACGGCACCTGCATCTTTTATCAGCATTGGGGATTAACCGAACTAAATGTCGCACACCTGGCATAGTACCGTGTGCGCTTGGCTCTCATCGCCTCGAGCTTAGCGGCCGCAGTTTTATATTTTGTTGGGGGGGCCATAGGGTAACTATGAGAGAGATGGTGAGACGATAGAGAGGAAAAAAAGAAGATGAAACCAAAGAGAGTTCAGGAAGCTTCAATTCGTCGGACCGTATTAATCACAAGCCTCCGTGCAAGGATTATGGCTTATGGGCCCATGGTGCTGATTCATACTACCGTCTGCATAATGCTGTAGATATCAGATGTGAGTGCGGTGCATGACATCAATGATAATTGGCACTTTTCTCGTTGTCAGACGGTGGGTGAGTGACCGCTAACTCATCGCTGTAGTGTAGTTGGGTGTTGTTGGTCCGACCTTAACAGATTCAACTGGAAAGGAGTATTAATGCGGTCCCGCAATTCAATATCCAATGTTTAAATTTTAAGTCGCATTTGGAGTGAACTAACCTTAGTATCATGAATCGTTGTCATGAGATGGGGTACATACATCATCCTGAATTCAATTGATCGATTTGTTAAGTGAGTTTTGGTCCGACCTTATTAGATTCGACCTGGAAATGAGTATTGATGTGGGACCGCAATTCAATATCCAATGTTCAAATTCTAAGTCGTGTTTGGAGTGAACGAACCTTATGTTATTCGTGAATCGTTGTCGTGAGATGGTATACATCATCCTGAATTCAATTGATTTGTTAAGTGAGTTAGACGACCAATGTAGGGGACATGTAGTACTACTTTATAGCATGGTAGGACTGTATCAAATGACGCTACATGTTCAATGCTGTGACTGTTAGACTTAATTTAATTCTTCCCAGTCACATGAGCACGTCACATTTCAGACTCTCACAGATCACCCGAGTCAATGTTCGAACGTTCAACACTTGTGCTCAGGCAAAATACTGGTGAGTATCATATGAACTATCAACTGCTGGTATAGACTGACTACTCACTTAGGCACTATAGGTTGAAGTACTACTACCTTCCAGCCCGGATGCTTCGATGTTTGGCTTCCAAGGCTGGTAGCGCTTCCGCTTCGATGGTACCTACCATTCAGGTTTGCCTTGTGGCTCAATATTTGTTGCTATGGGCTGGGCTAATCTTCTTCAGAACAATACTGCATACGAAGGTACAGACAATGCTCTCCACACCTCGAGTTACCCTCCCACTGCTGACTCGTACTAGTAACATCTATGTCAACAATGTCGATACTCATATGTGAGTAGCGTACATACTCTAACATTTTTTGTCTGGGCTGAAAATTATTCGTTTGGTAGCTTTTTCGTGGTGCTTCCTGCAAGATTCGTTTTGTTTAGGTCCACCTTGTGGCTCAACATTTGTTGCTATGGGTCGGGGCGATCTTTTTAAGAACCACACTATACACGAAGGTACGGACTATGCTCACTTTCTCTGAGCTTTTAGTGAAACTAGCCCACAGCCGAGTTATCTTCCTGCTTATTCGCGCTAGTACGTCCATGTCTGACACTCAAATGCTGACGCGCGAGCAGCGCAACATGCTCAAACAGTTTTTACCTGGGTTTAAACTTGTTCGCTCTGGGTCTGTGGAAGAGCAGGATATGTTTTGGGAGAACATTTTCACCCAGTGGTTCACAGCTTGGCCCGAACGTGCAGTACACTACTCTGGGGCACCACAGGAGCAGGATCTGTCCGACTTACAACAAGTGTTGCTCAAATTTGCGATTCAATGTCGTCAACGAGTACGTTATTTATTTCCTATGTAGTTATAACATATATTGATTCGATGATGACACAGCAGATTAAATCGTTTATTTATGCAAACACTATTGGCAGAGAGACGCGCCTGGTATCGTCCACATTGAACGACTTTTTTAAGGTCAAGAAGCTGGTGAGGTTTGTTGCATAATTTATTCATCGTAACAATAACACTCACAATAGCACAGACAGCGTTGATGCGGCGATGATGGCATATGTTTGTAGATGAAATATTGTACTAGACAGTGTCATTTTGTTGCTTCGGTATTTAAGTCAGTTTCAATTATCCATTGTGATATATCGCTCGTGGTTCTTAACAACCTTCTAGGATTCTCCCACAGCGCATATGGTATGTATGTTGGCTTATGCGCCACTGGATGTATCACCAATTTACGTAGTAGTGAAATTTAATGTGTTGACACCTAGACAGGCAGTGTTAGCCATGTCACAGTCTGGACGCACTGGGTGTCCCTCTAAACGTCCCAAACTTGTCAGGCATACACTGCTAGACCCCAATCAGCCCTCGAATCATGTCGACAGGCATCGCATATTCAGCTTGCAGCGTAGTGGTCAAGTTGGACTTCGGACATCTTACATTCCTACTAGCTTGCCTGAAAAGGAAGACAAAGATATACCTGCACGCACTCTGCCCACTGGTGCTGACCCTACTGCACACACTGACAATGATCCTTGGAATGAGACGGAATACTTTGACCCTGCATGTGAGGTGGATGATGCCTTTGGAGTGCCTGAGGTACCAACGGCCGAAAAGAGACGCAGGAGAACTGCAGGAGTAAGCCTCCAGTGTTACGAAGAAGCTGTATCTAATCTCAGAACATATAGGACAATCCCATGTCCCTTTGGCTACCAGAACGTCAAACATATGTGAATGAATTTATACGACTGGAAGGAAGAAGTCAGGGTGCAGACACCCAATGCAAGTGTGGTAGCCATGATGCAGTTTTCCGCTGTCAAGATTGTTTCTCTGTCGAGCTTACATGTCGGTCTTGTGCCGTTGGATCACACCTCAACTCCCCACTCCATAGAATCAAGGAATGGAGAGACGGATTTTTCCATCCTGTCTCTTTGAAGTCCATGGGTTTGCGAATACAGCTGGGTCACCCACCAGGCACTACTTGTCGGAATCCAAGACCTGCCTTTGGTGACAACTTCGTGATCATCGACATCCACGTCATACACCTTGTTGGACTCGATTTTTGCGGATGCGAGCACGAAGTTTCACACTTCAAACAGTTGCTCCGTGCACGCTTATTCCCTTCCACAGTAACCGACCCAAGAACAGCAGCAACTTTTGCTGTTTTGGAGTCCTTTCATATACTTTTGTTCGAGTCTAAAATCTCTGCATACGAGTTCTTCCACGGCTTAGCTCGGCGGACCGACAATACTGGTATAACACCCATTCGTGTAAGTCTATCCTCATACCTCTTTGCAGCATACTTACACCAGTGCAGGATTGTTATTCAGTGTTTCTCCGAATAGTCTATCAGTGGAAAAACATCAAGGCACTCAAACGTTCTGGCTGCGGCCATAATCCTGCTGGCGTTGATGCTACTCAAAATGGAGATCTAGCAGTTCTATGCCCCGCGTGTCCTCATCCGGGGAAGAACTTACCCGATGACTGGAAAAATTCACCTGAGCAGTGCGTAATTGTCTGAGAATACAACAAAACAACTGACACAACGAGCTAGATGGAAATTTGGCCTTTTCCTTGCTATAGATGCCAACTTCCGTCTCAAGCGCCGGATGGTGTCAAGTGACATCAGAGACCCCGGCCTCAGCCAAGGATGGGGTTATTTTGTTGAGGAGAAGGAATATAAGTGTTACCTACGTGCAAACGGTGAAACCGTCCAAGAGGTGTGTGTTTGATGATCTCTTAAATTCGTGTCTGACAATCATCTGCATCTCCAGAAAAGCAGCTGTGTTAGCCACAACACAGTGAACATGGCGGACACAAAGTCTGAAAAAGGGCTTGCTGCCACTGGTGTGGGAACCGTAGATTGTGCGCGCCATGATATGAAATTGGCTAACGGTGTTGGCGACTTACAGAAGGGCGAAAAGTAAGTTGATTCTTTGACACACGCTGTCCATCTCTAACTCATGTCGTCTTAGATATCTCAATATGGATTACCTTGTGTTCTCGGCTCTCGCCAGGTTCTCTACACTGTCAACAATCAACTTTTCCTATGACATCGCTTGCCAATGGCACAAGAAACTCTGGGATCGCTTGCCCATGCTGCCATCTCATCTTCAGTTCGACCGAGACGGTAAGACTATCAACTACTTTGTGCCGAAATTTCACCTTGCTGTGCATATTGAAATTTGCCAGACTCAATTCTCATTCAATTGGACTCCGGGCGTGGGACGGACTGATGGCGAAGCACCTGAGCGCAGTTGGGCAAACATCAATCGTGTAGCCAGTAGTACAAAGGAGATGGGCCCTGGAGCCCGACGTGATACGCTTAACGATCATTTTAGTGATTGGAATTGGAAGAAAGTTACAGGCCTTGGTAAGTGTTTAGTCTTTGTGAATGTATAGTGCTTATATCTCCTTGCTCTAGGTAAAGTTATGCTACGAAAAATCACAGAAGCAGTCGTGGTTGAGAAGGAGCACCGCCTGGCTCTCTGGGAGCTTGAGGGCTCTATCAATGAGTCAGAAACAGGAGCCGCTTCCCTCGCTGCATGGAGGACAGAGATAGAAATCTGGGAGAAGGACCACTCGCAACGCAACCCATTCCAGAGCAGAGTTGACGGTAAGTTGTTCTTTGCAATGACAAAAAATTGCTCACAAATATACAGCGATGACCCAGGCGGCTGTGCGACTCAAGTTAGCACAACGGGATGCAAAAGAATTGGAAGATGGGTCAGCAATATCACTCCATGCCGAAGTTACCTGCAGTGTTCTCATTAGCACTGGTATTGACTTGGAAGATGCCCAGTCAGTCGTTTCAACTCTTTCGCACAGCATTGCTGAGTATACTTGTATTTTTAGACGTCGTTTGCGTGTTGATTCCTCCGCGCTCGGTCAGCACTCAACTGATATCCAGAGGACTAAGATCTTAACTCGAAGAAACGCACTTCAACGTCGCCTAGACGCCTGGACCGATATTCAAAGACTCTACATGCCAGCGGTTCCAAACCTCCGAACCTCTGCAAGCCTCCCAACCCATGCCAATGGTGACAATAGCGGCTGTCCAGTCCCAGATCTCACCTCCGGAAAGGCAGAAGACTTTCAGTTGCTTCTGCCTTCTGAAATCTGTGATATTGTGCCATGCGACAAGACGCTCCTTGGAACGGAATGGTCTCTGCGACTTGCCCAAGCCAACGATGCTCTGAATGACTGTTGTTCACAAATCCGACTTCGCCGTCAGCTATATCAGTTCAAGGTTCAGCATTTACGCGGCCAAGGGCCCAACACCTGTGCACGCAAAACTCTGGATACGGTTGAGGAACGTCTCACCCTGAGCCATGCCAAATATGTAAGCGCTCGTGAGGCGCTCGTCTCCTTGGCTCGTCACCTTGATCGGATAGGATGGGAGCACAAATTGCAGCCTTTGAAAAAGGCACACCTCAGACCAATTGGGGACTTCAGCCAACAGACGCAAGGCACAGCTATCATGTCATGGATTTGGCTGACTCAAGGAATATCTTCTGATGATACCGAGGGAATGCAGGAATGTAAGTTGGTCCGAGTCACTCTCGCTCTTTTGTCGTCGCATGCTGAACTACTGCGATAGCGCTTCGTGTCGAGTGGTGTAAAGCCCGAGCACGTCGTAATAGGTGGTCGGAGGAGATCCAGCTCTTGTTGGAAGAAATGCAACACATCCTTGTATTTCTTCGGTGGCAGGGAGACTCTTGGGACTCCCATGCAACCCTATGAACCGATGGGCAGCCAGAGTATCAGGAAGGTTTGATTGCATATGCTCGCCGTCAAGCTCACATCCGACGAGGTTTAGTGGCGGCTTTTGCAGAACATTGGAAGAGAGTGCCGCATCTTGTGGCCTCGAACTCGGATACTGATCCATGTACTGATGATTTTGACGAGGGGATCTCTTTGGACGCACCTCCTTGTGAGTACATCGAGGGACCCGATGAATAAATAGCGTTTTGTACCCTGTACCGTGATTGTGAAAATTAAATTGATGTGCTTCTTGATCTCAGAACTACATAGTGATATGGTACCTAGAGAGATCGCGAGATTGCTGACAACAAAATAAGATCTCAAGATTGTGAAGACTAAAAACAATATGTTCCCGGGGGATGCTGATGACAAAATGAGATTTCGAGATCGCGAAGACTAAAACAATATGTTCCCCGGGGACGGGCGGCCACTGTCCAAGAGTTGTAGATACCATTCTGAGACGTTCGGTAGGCTGGCTGATCGATAAATATACAGAACAGATATATTCCAGAGTGGATAACTAGACTTAAAGATGTATCGAACTTTTAGGATTGTAAGCCATAAGGATATATCTTTCTGCCTGTATCCTGTGCCTTGCAGACTCTCAACGTGTCATATGACATCGCTTGCCAATGGCATAAAAAACTCTGGCAACGTATGAATGGATTTCCGATTTCAATGCACTTGGATTTCATATCAAAGGCTATTAACTTTTTTGTCCCTAAGTTTCACCTCCCGGCCCACATCGAGAAATGCCAGACCACTTTCTCATTCAACTTCAAGCGAGGTGTTGGTTGCACGGATGGCGAAGCTCTGGAGCGCGGGTGGGCCAACATCAATCCTGTTGCATCCAGTACGAAGGAGATGGGCCCCGGTGCGAGGCGCGATATGTTAGATGATTTTTTTGGAGATTGGAACTGGAAGAAAATTGTGGGACTCGGTACGTGTATCCATTGTGCCGTGACGCTAGTCTCACCTGGATAATTAGGTACTATTATGCTACGCAAAATGAAAGAGGCATTACCGGAGCACGCAGATCATCAAGCTGCACTTAATGACTTGGAAGAAGGATTAAAAGAGGATTACGGAGGGCTCTAGATCAGTGGCGGTCGCAAGTAGAGGCCTGGGAGGACGACCCGTGTCAGCCCAACCCCTTTGAGCGAAATGCAGACAGTGCGTGATTCTATTGATTGAACGACACCGAGTGACTCATTTGTTGTAATCCTAGTCATTACACTGGCTTCTGTTTGGTTAGCACTCGCGAAGGAAGAAGAAATAGAGATTCATAGTGGAGCTTGCCTCACACTGCACGAGGATTGTTCTCCAAGTGTACTGATTAGCTCGGGGCTCGAGCTCGAGGAGCATCAGTGCGTTTCCTTAGATACTTGCTTGCAGCGTCACTAAATTTTTCTAAGGCAACGCTTGAGAGCTGACAAGGCCAGGTGTGGCTTACATGTTACAGATACTCAGCAAGGGAAGTTGCTCGAGCGGAGTAACGCGCTACAGCGCAGAATCGACGCCTGGGTAAAAATACAAGAACTTTACATGCCCAATATCGCTGCCATACGACTCTCCGATAAAGAAACCTCTGCAGACACCACCTCTGTACCTACTTCCAAAACGTTCAAGTTGTGGCTACCATCGGAGATCGGCAGGTTGGCACCTTGTGATGAACGACTGCAACGGATGGAATGGAGATTAAGACATGCACAAGGTCACGATGCTCTCCGTTCCTTGCGCTCCAGCCTTCGCGCGCAGACAGCCGTTCTCAAATATAAAGATCGCAATCTTCGAGGACAAGGAGCCAATACTCGGGCGCGCAGCACGCTCAAGACAATTGATGCAAGAATCGAGGCTGCCGCCAGCAGATACGAAGGTGCACACAAGGCTCTAGTGATTCTGGGCGGACTCTTGAATGTGTCCGGCTGGCAGTCGTCACTGCGTCCTTTAAATCGCAAGGACATTCGCTCGATGTCTGACCTACTCTGGGGTGAATCGGAGGGCAGGCGTAAATTGTCGTGGATATGGAACATGCGCGGTGCTGGAGGAAGTGAAAAGGACGACAGTGGGGCTTTAGAAGGTATGCACGATATGACAAAACAGTATTCTTGCTAACTGACGGTGCCCTAGACATGCGGATCGAGTGGTGCAAGGCACGCGCTCGTGCGATGCGTTGGGGGGAAGAAGTAGAATTGTTGCGAGAAGAAATGTGCTGTATAGTGGCATTTCTGATGTGGGAGGCAGGGCGCTGGGATGAGAGGCAAGATGGTGTTATACCAACCAGCATGGAACATCGGGACGGGTGCGTGGCATACGCAAAGCGCCAGGCTTACTTACGTCGAGAACTAGCCACTTCATTTGAAGCTCGTTGGGCGGAGACCCTGGCTCAGTCTGATAATATCATGGATGTAGATTGAGCGTATCAGTAATTACATGTTTTGCAATACATTTCATGCTACTTTTTGCAACACACCATAAGAACGGGAGGGAGGAATTGCAACGGTATTGAAGGGCGGGATGCATCGGTTTTGAAGGGCGGGATGCATCATGGGAGATACATGAAGGGCGGGCAGCGGGGAATGGAATGCATCCGAAGCGACAGGAATGCATCAAGCATGAAGGGCGGGCAGCAGGGAATGCATCAGCAAGAGGAATGCATCAGCGAGAGGACTGAAGCGATGATGCATTAACCTAGAAAACGCGATGCATCAATGAGAGGGATGCATCAAAGGGCGGGAGGGATGCATGAACCTAGAAAACGCGATGCATCAGTGAGAAGGATGCATTAGCCTAGAAACGTAGGGGAGGAAAGAGCGCTACAACTGTAGGGAAAATGCATCACAGGTACGCTACAATCACAGCAAATAATGCATTACAATGACATGAACCTGTGTATTAGCATTGTCAGTTGAAAATATTGAATTCGGGTGGTTAGCCCGATAGTTATGAGGCTGAAGATGCAAGTTCGGAGTAGTTGTCAAAGTCGGCATGTCATTTGACGTCAGCTACAACAGTACTTGATGGCAATAGATATTAATGTACCTGGTAGACACAAAGGCTAAAGTTCGACCAAATACTAGTAGTGACCTGCGGGCACCCGCGGGTAGCTCGAAATTTGGATGTTGCTGCCTGTACCCGCCCGGGTAATACACCCAAGCCAACCCGTGACCCGTAGCACCCGACCCGCACGCTACCCACAGGTTCCACCCGGGCGGGTACCCGGGCACTCTCTACCGAGGACATCCAGGAAACGGCCAGTCTGGGGCCAAAGTCTGGGGCGGAGTCTGGGGTCAAAGTCTGGGGCTGCGGCTGACGCGTGCGGAGCTTAATTCTGAGTTCCAATTATATCTGGTCACGTTTGCAATACCAGTGTGACCCGTCCATTGTGAGTTGTGACCCGCCCTTTGTGACCTCTTGCAGGCCGCACTGCACTTGGTGACATCAATGATCTCGATCAGTACTCAGTACTCCCAGTGAGAATCAGCTGTGCTCGAATAGGGCTGAATGTGTTGAAATGTGCGTTTGAGAGACAGCGCACATACTCGCGCATTTCGCTCGATATCCGGACTGACAGCATATTTTCTATAAGACGGGGCAGTGCCCCATGTGCTCTATTGTGCTTCTTTTATATTGCGCACATTTAAAAGGCGCATTCACGCACACTCGCGCTGTCCTCCCAGAATGTGCTTAAATAGTGTCAAATATGCTTTGATTGCTTAGTAGGTATTATGCGGAATACAATCGGTATACGAAAGCAGCTGGAAAATAGTGAAACCGATGCGAAACAGGTGGAGTATACCTCGAAAGTACGTTGAGAGCCGAGCATAAACGAAATAGACAACAGCCTGAGAGCGGATCGCAAACATCGAGAGCCGAGCAGAAAGGATGTAGACAGCAGAGCAGATCGAAAACATGTTGAGAGTAGACAGCGGAGGAGATCGAAAATGGGAAGCAGAAAACACAGCAACGAAGGTGCGGCAGACACTGGTAGCAGAATCAAGACACGTTGAGGAAGCACAAGTGTTGGGACAGTGGATTGACGATCATAATTTTGACTGGTTTTGGTGCGGAGAAGCACGAACATAGCATGCTAACTGCATGTGGTGAGTAGATTGGCGGGTGTGTCGGCAGCCGCTAGCCATCTACGACGGGCACACTAGTACTGGCAGGAGGCACGATGATGGCGGGTGGCTTTGGAATTGTCACAAAGCAAACACGTGACAAAAACAATTCAAACTCAGCCCGGGTCAGCCGTGTTTGCCGAACGCCCCAGACTCTGGCCCCAGACTCCGCCCCAGACTTTGGCCCCAGACTGGCCAGATCTCTGACATTCACTCTCTACCCATGTCAGGCCCTACCATAAGTACCCAACATCGCTGTGCACAACAATTCAGGAAACAATATTGCGTCCATTTTCTATCATTATTCCTATAATCTATCATCTGATGACTGGAAGACAATCATGAATTATAGAAAAATGAACATTGAAAACTGCTATCTCAACCGCTATCGAATCCGCCCATTAGGACTAGCCGCGGAAAGGGCCCCGGGTTGCATGAAGGAAATCAAACCATAACTTTTACTGACTGAATATATAACCAAGCTTACAAAGGCCCTTGGCGCTTCGTCGGAATGCTGTTTACAAGGAAAGCCGCAGCCGTCTGGCTTTCTCTTGCCTTTGAACGGGTTCTCACTGCACAAACACCTCTGTCAAGTCACGCGCCCTCATCCTTTTACCCGGTGGTCGAAAATGATCTTGGACAATGGAATCTTGATGAAGGACCTGCGGTGAACACGACAGGACATCTAGTGTTTGAAACCGCCAATTCCTTGCTTCAACACTGGGCAAATACCCGTCATCGTATTGGTATGTTTGAAAATATTGAACTCCAACCAGATGGGTTGCGACTTATCATTTACGTCCTGCAGGTCATACAATAATCCCAGGGACTATTCCCGTGGGCACGCACCTCTACCATGGAGCTCTCACCGGCCCCCATTTACCGACCGCCTTGGATTGGGTGGCTGTAGAGCCAGACCACTCCAAATTGTTCTGCAAAGGGTCAATCGAAACAGGGTGCTGGCACCTCACCCTTGCAGTCACTCGGCCGATGAAAGTGCTCTATTTTGACGGAAACAGCGCTGCGAAACTCTCTGGGGGCACTATGGATACCCAAGATCTCGTGGCATGGTCGGAAATGAAACCCGAGTGGTTGTGGAATGAAGAGCAGCGCATAAAGGATCTGTGTAAATGGGGTGAGAAGTATGGCGTGAACGGCTTTGTGAGGTTCGTTGGATGTTAAGACGCGTGCGCGCGAATGCTTGATGCTGATTTGTGACTCATAGGATGGAAATGAATTTGTGCGAATCCATACGTAGCCCCTTGGTGATTTGTTATTGACGACGGTCATAGTGAAATCATGATCTGCAACTTCACCTCTCACATGGAGATCGTCTCGTTCTTAAATCTCGAGAGCATTCGCATTGGGACCAGCACCGACCCGCCGCCGGTGGGCCCCCATACTGGTGAGCGACTGTGTTCAGTTTTTGACGTAGGTCTGATTTATTATCGGACATCAGTGTATCACGTTTTTGAATTATTGCATTCTGCTTCATGGCGCGAAAATTATCCAGGAGAAACCCGGATTATGCTTGATTTTTCTGGGCTTGTCTCTTTTTACGACACCGCTCTTGTTCCCTCCTTGGTGCCGCGCCGTGTAGGCTTGGACCGGTGGGATCACCGAGTGGCAGCAATATCATCGGAGGATATAGAACGCGTCCAAGACAGGCTAGCCCAAGCGCTAGCACTACCACCCGCGACAACCAGCGGCATTGACTGGAAAACAGTCTTACGCGTGGTTGTCGATCGATATGCCAGCCGCCTGGAGTTCATACAGCACCTTTTGAACCTGACGTTGGACGATGGGTCGATCTTTGACCACGCACAACAAATTCAGAGACAGCTGCGCGCCGTGCTTTTGCCCTACACTGTGTTTGCAGCTCTGCCTCCCAATACCTCCGTCACCGCCAACGCGACAAATTCGTGGGCTGCGCCAGTTTTTCGGGAATGTGCTGCATCGCACGCGGCCTCCATAGCGTATCGTGGAACAGCACTGACGCCCTCCGAACATCTACTCCTGCAGGCGGTGCGGGAAACTACGCATGAAATATGTCGCGTCGTCACGAAGATGTGGGCTTCCGGAATGAATTTTGGAGTCGACGCCTTTTATCCTCCGGAACAACGCCCTGAAGTCCATCACATACATACTCTCATGGGCGAATGGAAGGAGGACGTGACACAGTTAATTTCCTGGTTGGACTGGAGCGTGTGTGCGAAGTGCCGACCGGCCTGTGGTCTCGAGGTAAAAAAAAATCAAGTTACTTGTTTGCGAAATGACTGACCTCGTCGTGTAGGAGATGTGCTACTTGCCTACTTGGCCGTTTGGGTTTCCAACAGCCGGCGCACCACTTCAAGCCCAATGGGACAGTGCTTCTTTATGGCCGGACCCAAACAAAGGGGAATGGAAGAGACCACAACCCAAGTGTATCAGACGGCGGGAGCCATATGGTTTGTAGGATACACGACTCACATTACTGTTGACATATACACATCTTTTGTACAAAATTATTGCATTGGAATTTAAGCGCGCTGCGCTATACTTTAACGCATGTTATCATTCGAACGTTTTGATGTGTTGGCTCTTTTAAATTGTGATTTTTTTAAAAATCCGACATTGAGAGTGATACACTCTATGTAGGACAGTACTATGTAGTCCTGGAGCCCCGTGCTCCAAACTAAATTGTGATTGTCAAACGTAGTAAGTCACTCTCTCATCTCTTACATCGACTACAATATGAGTACAGACCAACAAATGCATTTGGCGGTAACTCGTCGCATCTGAACAAACCAGCACATCAGCTCGTGCCCGTCTTTTGCCAGATATTTTAACACCGCAGATGCTGTAGTCCTGACATCCTGCAGCCATTTTGCTTTATAGCATGGTCAATGACCCCTCAGACCACGATCTCATTCGATCATTGCTCTGACACCGGTGCACTCATAATATGATATAGAAAGATGACTCCGACTGGCAGGCCACGAAGGGTTCCTCTGGGGTAGCGTTTCACTCGCGTATTTGAACCGCCTAGGCACGGTCAGTTAATAGGTAACTTGACTTGACTTGCAAATTGGAGAGACCTTACAAAAATTATTTATGAAGGAACGACTGTTTTGGTCTGCCTATGGGAGACCGTCGCGGCCACTGATAAAAGTAGTCTGAAGGTAGAGATCAGGGAAACATTCAAGCCAAGATCTCTGACAGTCTTCTGAGTTCTCCACTCGCAGCATGAAAGACACTCACTCCTTGTGTGTTGATGTCTGAGCTTCTTGTGACCGTAGACACGATCAAGATGTGGAAAGGTATACTAGATCCAGTCAATCTATGATTAATGAGGGCAGATGCATATAGGATAAACGTCGCTGCAGATGTTGAATTATGATATTGAATAAAGTGGGCCGTACTACAGCAGAGGCTCCGGCCGCTGCGGAGGGTATGGAGCAACGACCCCCTCTGCTAATAATAAATATATTACACCACCCTTTCTAAATTACCTAATTATCGACTCGTGTGTCTTCGCCCCAACCTCCGACGACAAGTCTGCAAGTTTGAAGCTCGAAGCCTTGAAGTGCTTTCAAAGGTCCTCTCGCTCCCCCATAATTCTCAAGTGCATTCGAGAAATTGCGCAGAATGCCTACTGCAGTCAACGGTATAGCTACCAAATCCAATGCCAACGGAAAGGCCATTAAATCCAAAAACCAGCTTCGGCGAGCAAAGGCGAAAGAAAAGAAAGTCCTTGCCACTCAAACGACACCTGTGCGTTTCACATCTTAGTCTGAATTCGAAACAGTTCATTTATGGAATTGAATTGTGGCTGTAGGAGCTTAATGGGAACTCTGAAACGGTGAAACAAGAGGAGGATGGGCCATTTGGCAATGTCGAGTACGTGATTGAGCAGCTGGATGTCAAAGATCCAGCTCTTGTGGCCTTCTCCGACATTTTTGCACGTTTCCAGGCTCCTCAGGACTATGCAGAGGTGCGTCACGTAATGTCCACCCACTCCCTCCCTTAGTTCACGCAATATCTAGGCAAAGGATTCGGAACCCACAAAAGGGGAGGTTATCTACTCAGACGATGGTATGGAATCAGACGCCGGTTCAGACGCAGAGGAGAAGAAACCTCTTTCGAAAAAGAAACAACGCAAGATGGCCCGTTTGACGATTGCAGAGCTTAAGCAACTGGTGGCGAAACCCGAGGCAGTCGAATGGACAGATCCTTCAGCCGCTGACCCAAGATTACTGCTCCATCTCAAGAGTTACCGCAATACCGCTCCTGTTCCTGCGCACTGGAGTGCAAAACGAGATTACCTGCAAGGAAAGCGCGGTATCGAGAAGCCGCCTTTCCAGCTCCCTTCGTATATAGCAGATACGGGTATCGCAACAATGAGAGACGCAGTTAAAGAGAAGGAGGCTAACATGTCGTTAAAGGCCAAAACTCGTGAGCGGGTGCAGCCAAAGATGGGCAAGGTCGACATCGACTATCAAAAGCTGCACGATGCCTTCTTCAAGTTTGCAACAAAGCCAGTGGTTACTGGCTTTGGTGAGATGTAAAATGTTAATCCTTTTCATTCCACTCTCGCTTATTCATTTGCTTGTTAGGTACTATGAGGGGAAGGAGTTTGAAACGTCGTTGAAAGAGAAACGACCAGGAGATTTGTCGCCAGAGCTTGTTGAAGCGCTATCGATTCCGCCACTTGCACCACCACCTTGGCTAATTAGCATGCAAAGATTTGGACCTCCTCCGAGCTACCCGACTTTACGGATTCCTGGTCTCAATTCGCCCATACCTGAGGGGTGAGTGTGGCGCATTTCGATGAGCCCGAAGTCATTGATCACATCTTAAGCGCTCAATGGGGTTTCCATCCCGGTGGATGGGGTAAGCCACCGTTGGATGAGTATAATCGCCCTTTGTACGGCGATGTGTTTGGTGTGTTGCCGAAAGTCACCGATACGAACGTACGTGAGGGAGTTTTCTTCGAATGCCTTTCTCTTACACTATTCTTCACAGATTGGTGAACCAATTGACAAGAATACATGGGGAGAGCTAGAGCCGGAGGAAGGCAAGTTTATATATATCATTCTTATTGTCGCAAATGCTGAGAAAACCTGCAGAGGAGGAGGAAGAGGAAGAAGAAGAAACGGAAGAGGAGGACGAGGAAGAAACTACTGAAGGAGCACCAGTCGACGGCCTTCAGACGCCTTCCGGTCTGGAAACGCCATCCGGCATGGCCAGCGTTGTCTCCACTGTCGCTGGGGGACTCGAAACACCCGACTTCTTGGAGCTGCGGAAGACGTCGTCTAGGCATCCATCATCAGACACCTCAGAAAGCGGACCACGGTCACTGTATCAGGTTGTACCGGAGAAACAGACCTCCGTGCGCGGGCTCATGGGTAGTGAGCGTGGGTATGACGTCAGTCAAGTCACCAATCCGCAAAACCTTCCCGTGCTTGGGGAGGAGCGAGGAACGAAAGTACGTCAAAATGGTCTTTCAGATATTCCAATAAAGATATTGATCACTGTTACAGCGCAAGGCGAATGGTGTCGACATTTCTATTGACGCAGGCGAGATGGAAGGCATGACGGAGGATGAGCTACGGCGAAAGTACGAGCAACATTCACGAGGTTCGGCGGGAGTAGCGGGATCAAAAGAAGACTTCTCAGATATGGTAGCGAAGGAAATGGCGAAGAAGAAACAAAAGATGGATCGCGAGCGGGACTCAAAGAAGGGCAAGGAATTCAAGTTTTGATCTGGCCTCCAGCGTCTGCGCTATTCCTTGTACATTTGTTGTTTTCCTGCAGGCTTGTAGTATCCGTTTATCATTATATCTCTTTGTCTCATCTTTATGAAGTTACTGATTTAAGTTATGAGTGGTGCCTAGGCATTGATATTTGATGGAAATGATGATCCGACGCCATAGGTTTAGTAATGTCAAGGTTGTGTGAAGAGTAGGCTGTGCATTTCGGCGCCTAGGTAGTTGTCAGCTCTGATAAATCTGCTTGCAGTTAAACAGTGATTCAAGCTAGGCACGCGGCGCCTCCCCTTCCACTCGTTTCTCTCTCTTGTGTCGGATATCATATTCTTCGAGGAATGTCGCAAGTGAAGATGTTAGTCCTCCGATTCCTACTAGTGCCGCCACTCAACAACTACTTTCAGTGCGCTTCAGCCACCCCCAAACGTTGATTTTGTCGTCGGTCAGTGCAAAAACTGTCATGCTTGACCCTTTTTTACGACACAATACTCCTAGGCTATCCTGGGATACCACCCGCTGCGAAAGATCGACCTCAAGCAGCAGTCAAAGGTGTACGTGCTCGCTCTACATAACAAATGAGTTGGCTTTTTATATCTGTCAGGCCGTCGAGGTGCGCGTGGGGCCTCAGGGCGTCAAAGCAAAATGGGTCCGTGTCGAGCTCAAGAAGATCGAAACACTCCCTGGCGGTGGCCAGACGAACTCTTACTTTGACTTTGTTGGCTCGAGTCCGATAAATCTATGGCAGTCGAGCGAAGAATACGGGTTATTGCAGTCAGTGAGTGGTGTATCCATCCCTGTGTAAACATGTCGGGCGCTGAGAGCTAGCGATAGCGAGACCTGCCATTCCATATTCGTATACCTGAGTCCATTCCGCCAAGCATTGCCCTTGAAAGAGGCGGTGAGTGGCTGCGCAAACACAATGTTTGTTATCTGATGGTGTCTCTTTGTATAGCTGGTATCCGCTATGAGTTAGTCGCGACTGTTTGTACTCTTGGGAAGAAGTGGGTCTTCCAAATTAGATCTTGAGTCGCGTGGGTTGACTTGCTATCTGCAGAGGTTTCTTCCGTCGCCGTAAAACTGTTGTAACATCACAAGCCACCACTATCATTATTGACAAGCACGAACTCCACTCAACGTGGCCTGTATACGCACAAGCAGAATCACGCAGCGTCAACCAAGAGGGTGTACATCTCACAGTAGAACGCCAACGAACATGCTTTGGACCAGGCGACCGCGTGTCTGTCATGGCTATCCTCAAATCCGACTCAGTGCATCCAGTTATTGTCCGTGGATTCGAGTTTTCTCTCAAGGAAACAACCATATTTCGTGCTAGTACTCAGTCTGGCCAGACTGGCAAGCGTAATGGTCCCCAAGTCAAAACTGGGCTGGTTGGCGAGCAAAAGGTGCCCCTCAATGTCACGTTGTTTGGTGGCACGCAGCACAAGGCGGAACTTGGATGTTTGATCCCAAACACACATACTACTACCACGCTTAACGCTGCAAGGCACATTGACATAACATATACAATCTTAGTCAAGGCGTGGTTTGGTTCGATGCAGGCAGTTTTCATAGAGCTGCCTGTTATTGTCTCGAACTGGCCAAGGTAAGGACTTCAGTCAATATTCTATAATATATACCTAACTGAGATACAGGAGCGTGTCCGAGGAAGCCGTTAGGTACGCAATCCTCGCTGTTACGACTGATCTATACTAAAAACCTCTCAGGCGTATCGGTGTCGCCCCAAGCCTTTGCATGACCCCATCAAGCACTGCATCCACGGCCCTGGCTCGCCCTCTCACCGCCAACTCACAGATTTCTGATTACAACTCCTCCGCTCAAGGGCATGGGCGCACAGCCCTGACACCTCCTGTCTCATCCATCAAGTACAATACTACCCCCAACGCACACAATGGTGATCTCCAGTACGACGATCTTGAAGTGGATGAGATCGGCGCTCTTCAGAGTCACCAGTCGCGTGTGCCAGGCACAATAGACCACCCAGGCTACAGCTCATCAGCGCAAATTCCCATGGGTAGCATTCAGGAGGACAGCGCTCTCGTCGTGCGCCCTGTCGGTGGCTCGGGCCGTAGACGACGTGGTTCGGCTGCTGCAGGGACGCAAAACCGTCTCACAATCACTAATATCAGCGATCGGGATGCAGAAGTACGGGAGGCTGTGGAACAAGCACAGTTAGCTGCCAGACAACAACAGCCGACGACGCCGTCGATAAGGGGTCAACGTTCGTGGCTCTCCGCCGAGGAAGAAAAGAGGAAGCTGTATGAGAGTGCAAGGGCTAAGGTTGAGCAGGTCCAAGGTAGTGCTGTCATGGCCCCACAATCCAGTGAAACAGTGAGTAAATACTGGTTAACATTCCAATCTTCTCCGCTAACCTTCGTTGCAGTCCTCACAACAGAAAGGTTCTCCTTCGTCCCGTGCTGCCTGGCCAACTGCCGAAGAAGAGAAAATTCGTCTGTTCGACAAAGCCCAAGCCACTGCCAAACGTACTCAAGCACTTGGTGCCTCGAGCCACAGCCGAGAGAGTTCGGAAGCCAATGGCTCGCTTGGACTCTCGAAACCTTCTCGTAGCTTCAGTGCTCTGTCAGCAGGTGCCGCCCTTTACCAGCACGCGGTATCTTCCATGAATCAGAACCCCAACACAAGCCCCAATACCAGCGCGAATGTTAGCCCCGCGCCCTCACCACCTCCTTCGACTTCCCCCAAGATTGTTCCACACTACCCGTCCGCTGAGGAGGAGAAGGCTGCCTTAAAGCGATACCAAGAGGCCAAGCTCGCCGTCGATCGGAGCCAGAACACCCAGTATGCGACTCGCGAAGGAATCTCATCATCCTCGGCAGCACCCGTTGCTTACGATACCCTCTACCCCTCATCCAGTATTTCTCGGAGCATGTCCTACGGCGCACAGCCAAGTGGGTCTGATATGCCTCCGCCGTTTGACGGGCCGAACGGTCAGCCGCAATATCTGAATGAAAAGGAGAAGTTGAGGAGGCACCACGAGGCACAGGATGCGGCCGCCATGGCTGCACAAAGTCCTGCTGACATGTCGCCCTCATACACCGCTTCCCCATTGTACTCACCACCCGCCCAATCTTCTGCAACTAGCGCCCTGTCAGAGAAGGAAATCCTCCGGCGGAAGTTTGAGGAACAAGATGCTGTAGCACTCTCCCAGCAGCAGCCTCTGCCTCCCCCTCCACGGACCGTCAATGGCTCAAGCCTCCCGCCTCCCCCTGTTGCATCTGGTGTCAGTGTCTTCAGACCACTCACAGCAGCCGAAGAAAAGGCACAGCTACGTGCCAAATACGCCGCCGAGGAACAGCAGGCTAATGGCAATGTATCCGCATCTGCGTCAGGTTTCATCCCTCACCACCGTTCGCCATCGAGTACCGCTCTCTCGCCACCGCCTCCTCCACCGCTCATGCCACGTCCGCCAGCTGAGTATATCCAGGAGACTCAGGAGGAGGATGCTCGCGTGCGGTATTACGACAGCATAAGCATGGGAACTGATAATTCGCCCATGCGGGTCGGGTCTCCGACGGCGAAACCTGGGATACAGCTCGACATCCGCCCGTTCACACCATTCTGTGTTGGGCTGTATGACCCAAGTAGTCCTGCAGCACAGCGACCCCCACCGCCACCTCGCTTGCCGCCGCAGAATTGAGTTCTGCATTATGAATAACCATCTCAGCGATTTATTTCTTGCATTTTTACTACAAGCTGTTAATGAATTTTCCTCATTCTTACGGATTGTACCACTGACAAGTCGGTCAGTGTATTTCTGTCTATCGTTACATTTTTCGACATATTACAGCACTACATATAACGGTAACGTTATAATAACACGGAGTGGTAGCAGTATCATTATAGCTCTACAGTGTTTTGACATTCCTTACGCACATCATGTCGCCCATCCTGCTATTTATTCATCTTTTCCTTTTAGTCCTACTTCCTGCTGATGATGATGTCGATTCTGTTGGACCTGAGAGTGAATCAACATCCGGTATGTCTGATTTGCGTTTGCGGCCTCGCGTGGCGTTCGCACTTTGGGTTGTTTGCATCAAAGACGTGGCCATGTCCACGCCGCCATCTTGAGAAGCAACCCCGTCAAGGAATGCATGCATCTCTTCACTTGGCACTTTTTTGTCTACGCCTGCTCCACGCGCCGTTGACGAATCCAGCTTGTCTGCTAACCTCAAGCTCTCTATATCTGGATCTTCCTCACCCTGGCCCGTATGCCCAGCCGCATCATGCGCCAGATCCATCCCGTTAAGATATGAGCCAATGTCGAAAGAATCCTGCCCCGAACCTACCCCATAGGGGTCATCGAGATGCGGCTGTGCGCCGTCAGTAGCGTCAAAAGTCGACGGGTCAAAGCCAAGGCTCTGAATAAGGGAATGAATGTTTGTCTCTAGCGAGTCAACATCTGTGTTGATCTCGTGTGCTGTAGAGTAGGTCTTCTGCAGGTGATCATCATGTGCTTCGAAAGCTGCTAGCTCAGCACCACCATTTTGCGAGAGGAGAGCGTATGGACTAGAGTAGTCGGTCTGGAACGTGGGGGGGTCGTACGGCATTAGTTGTGCTGGATTGGCGTTTGTGTGCTGCTGGGGCAACTGGGCTTGCGGCTGCGGCTGGGGTTGTGGCTGGGCGGGGAAAGGCTGCTGCATAATGGATTGTGGTATGATTCCTTGCGTGTGTCCATCTCCTGGAAACGAGAACCCACCCCCGCCAAGAGCAGCTATCAGTTTCTGCATCTGCACAGGCGATGAGAGCACCTGGGATAGTGCAGCATGGATGAGGGCATCATTCTGTGGGGAAGGCGGAGGGGATGTTGTAGTCAGGGAGGTGAAAGCAGGTGCAGAGACTGAGTGGTGAATCGGCGCAGGGCGAGGGAGGGCGGTATTTGGCGAGGTGGGTAGAGCGGTATTTATATTTGATGGGTTTAGATGGATGTCATTGGCTGTAGTGGTGGCGCTGATTGGGGCGGTGTTGGAGCATGGCGTGGTATTTGCATCTGCTGAGGGAGTTGGGGCATCAGGAAGAGAGGGTTCGATGGATGCAAATCGGGGTGAAGCATTGCACGAAGGACCATACTCAGATGGGATAGCAGAAGGTGTGTCCAGAGATGCAAAAAAATCTGCAAAATCATGTAAACAGGGCGTCAATGCCGAGACATACATGTAAATGGAGGACGTACCCATCTCAGAAGACTTTGCACTATCTATGCTGGTCCTCTGTTGGTCCTCCATGATCTCAGTAATGTCGACACCCTTCTTTGCACCACTCCCTCCGCCACTGCGTCCATCGCCAATCATCAACCGCTGTGGTTTCCTCGCGACGATCTCACTCCCCTCACCACCACTGACAACCCCACCTCCACCTATATCATCCTTGCGTATTGGATTGTCTGCATGACCGAACACTCCAGCAAGGAATTTGAGGATACGGTTAATGGTGTCCTGGTGTTTCTTATGCCTCTCACGAGCAGCGATGGCTTCCTGCCAAAGATGTTGGTTGGAAGACTTGAGGTCGTTGAGGTCAGCAGAGATGGCGGCTTGGTGTCTTTTGATGGCTTGAATACCATTCACGATTGAGTTCATGTCCATTAATTGGCCAGGGGTCAAGGCGCCGGCAGACGCAGCTGCGCCCAGGTCTTTATTGGGAACTTCAGCGACGGCAGAAATGACGTCAGAGGTGGATGCGGTCTGCTTCTTTCGCTGGATAAGGCAGAGCATATCCGGTTGGCCACGGAGGAAATGGGGGTGCTCGAAGTTCCAGAATTCGGTATCAGAATCCGAGCGGAGTACACCTTGTTGGAGATGAGGGATTTTGTGAAAGCCGTACATGTTGAGTTGGCGGACAAATGAGGAGAAGTTCTTGTGTTTGAACCAGCGTCCTAGGACTTCGCTTGCGAAGCGCTCTTGGTCGAGGACTATGAGTGTGTCAAATTCGTTGAATATTGGATAGGGACAGACTGGCGCTAGGACGTACCAAAGAAGGAGTCACCGGTGTCAGACCATCGAATGAGATCATGGTCTGATGGATCATTAACCATCCTATAAAGCAAGATGGTTGTAGGATGTCAGGACTACAGCATCTGTGAGATTAGATTTGACGAAATACGCACTCGTATAATTTCTGGAGAAAGGCGGGCACAAGCTGACGTGCTGGTCTGTTCAGATGCGATGAGCTAGCTCTGGGAGCTACCGCCAGATGCATTTGTTGGTCTGTACTCATATTGTAGTCGATGCAAGAGACTAGAGTGTGACTTTGCTTTTGACAATCACAAAGAGCCAACACGTCAAAACATGAACCTTCTTCAAAGTACATACGTCACGCGCGCTTATATAAACTCCCTGCACAAAAACTACATACAAAAAACGTGTATATGTCAGCAATAATTAAAAACTATATGGCTCCTGTCGTCTGATGCACTTGGGCTGTGGTCTCTTCCATTCCCCTTTGTTTGGGTCTGGCCATAAGGAACCACTGTCCCATTGGGCTGCGCGGGTTGTTGGGAACCCAAAGGGCCAAGTAGGCAAGTAGCACATATCCTACACGAGGTCAGTCATTTCATAAACAAGTAACTCGATTTTGTTACCTCGAAACCACAGGCCGGTCGGCACTTCACCCACACGCTCCAATCCAACCAGGAGATTAACTGCGTCACATCCTCCTTCCATTCGCCTATGAGAGTATGTATGTGATCAACTTCGGGGTGTCGTTCCGGAGGATAAAAGGCGTCGACTCCAAAATTCATTCCGGAAGCCCACATCTTCGTGACGACGCGACATATTTCATGCGTAGTTTCCCGCACCGCCTGCAGGAGCAAACGTTCGGAGGGCGTCAATGTTGTTCCACGATACGCTATGGAGGCCGCGTGCGATGCAGCACATTCCCGAAAAACTGGCGCAGCCCACGAATTTGTTGCGTTGGCGGTGACGGAGGTATTGGGAGGCAGAGCTGCAAACACAGTGTAGGGCAAAAGCACGGTGCGCAGCTGTCTCTGAATTTGTTGTGCGTGGTCAAAGATCGACCCATCGTCCAACGACAGGTTCAAAAGGTGCTGTATGAACTCCAGGCGGCTGGCATATCGATCGACCACCACGCGCAAGACCGTTTTCCAGTCAATGCCGCTAGTGGTCGTGGGTGGTCGTGCTAACGCTTGAGCTAGCCTGTCTTGGACGCGCTCTATATCCTCCGGTGATATTCCCGCCACTCGGTGATCCCACCGGTCCAAGCCTACACGGCGCGGCACCAAGGAGGGAACAAGAGCGGTGTCATAGAAAGAGACAAGCCCAGAAAAATCAAGCATAATCCGGGTTTCTCCTGGATAATTTTCGCGCCATGAAGTAGAATGCAATAATTCAAAAACGTGATGCACTGATGTCCGAGAATAAATCGGACCTACGTCAAAACATGGACACAGTTACTCACTACTATCAGGGTCCTCTGGCAGATATGGCCGGTCGCTGCCGATACGAATGCTCTCGAGATTTAAGAATGAAACGACCTCCATGTGAGAGGTGAAGTTGCAGATCATGATTTCACTATGACCGTCGTCAATAAAAAATCACCAAGGGGCTACGTATGGATTCGCACAAATTCATTTCCATCCTATGATTCCCAAATCAGCATCAGGCATTCACGCGCACGCATCTCAGCATCCAACGAACCTCACAAAGCCGTTCACGCCATACTTCTGACCCCATTTACACAGGTCCTTTATGCGCTGCTCTTCATTCCACACCCACTCGGGTTTCATTTTCGACCATGCCACGAGATCTTGGGTATCCATAGTGCCCTCAGGGATTTTCGCAGCGCCGTTTCCGTCAAAATAGAGCACTTTCATCGGCCAAGTGACTGCAAGGGTGAGGTGCCAGCACCCTGTTTCGATTGGCCCTCGACAGAAAATTGTGGAGTGGTCTGGCTCTACAGACACCCAATCCAGGGCGGTCGGTAAATGGGTACCGGTGATAGCTCCATGGTAGAGGAGAGTGCCCACGGGAATAGTCCCTGGGATTATTGTATGACCTGCAGGACGTAAATGATGAGTCGCAACCCATCTGGTTGGAGTTCAATATTTTCAAACATACCAATACGATGACGGGTATTTGCCCAATGTTGAAGCAAGGAATTGGCCGTTTCAAACACCAGATGTCCTGTTGCGTTCACCGCAGGTCCTTCATCAAGGTTCCATTGTCCAAGATCATTTTCGATCCCCGGGTAAAAGGATGAAGGCGCGTGACTCGACAGAGGTGTCTGTGCAGTGAGAACCCGTTCAAAGGCAAGAGAAAGAAGCCAGACGGCTGCGGCTTTCCCTGTAAACGGCATTCTGACGGAGTGCCAAGGGCCTTTGTAAGCTTGGTTATATATTCATTGAGCGTATCTATAAAGTTATAGTTTGATTCTCCGCGGCTAGCACTGATGGGGGCGGCGAACTTGATAGCGGTTGAGATAGCAGTTTTCAATGCTCATTCTTCTATAATTCATGGTTGTCTTCCAGTCATCAGATGCATATAGGAATAACGATGGAAGATGGACGCAATATTATTTCCTGGATTCCGCCCAGGTTATGCGCAACGACAATCACGGGGTACTTAGTCTGCCATCACGGTAGTCAGAAGGAACGATCAGTTCATTCTAGGCTGAGGTACCCACGCGTTTGACTTTCATCCGACTTGGTCCCGTTTGTCACGATGTCACGATTGCTTATTCCGTGACATATTCTGACATAATTACTTCAAATGTCGGCTTTGAGCTAGATAAGGGCATGTCACATTCAAACTGAGTGTGACATGATCACAGCCCTATCATAGCCAATAGGAAGCCACACATGTTGCCGCTGCCAGTTTCAGGGTTTTGTTTAATGAAAAATGGAACTTATATACAGCCGTATACCCGTGTCATTGCCTAATAGTACCGGTACCCTGGTCATTAGCATGATGGTTTTCTTCTTTTTCTTTCTCGAATAACTGGCTCAGTGAAGTACATACATCACGCGCGCTTAAACTCCCCTGCGATAATTTTACAAAAACTACATACAAAAAACGTGTATATGTCAGCAATAGTGCATGCATCCTAAAAACCATATGGCTCCCGTCGTCTGATGCACTTGGGCTGTAGTCTCTTCCATTCCCCTTTGTTTGGGTCTGGCCATAAGGAACCACTGTCCCATTGGGCTGCGCGGGTTGTTGGGAACCCAAAGGGCCAAGTAGGCAAGTAGCACATCTCCTACACGACGAAGTCAGTCATTTCGTAAACATGTAACTCGATTTTGTTACCTCGAAACCACAGGCCGGTCGGCACTTCACCCACACGCTCCAGTCCAACCAAGAGATCAACTGCGTCACATCCTCCTTCCATTCGCCTATGAGAGTATGTATGTGATCAACTTCGGGGTGTCGTTCCGGAGGATAAAAGGCGTCGACTCCAAAATTCATTCCGGAAGCCCACATCTTCGTGACGACGCGGCATATTTCATGCGTAGTTTCCCGCACCGCCTGCAGGAGCAAACGTTCGGAGGGCGTCAATGTTGTTCCACGAGACGCTATGGAGGCCGCGTGCGATGTAGCACATTCCCGAAAAACTGGCGCAGCCCACGAGTTTGTCGCGTCGGCGGTGACGGAGGTATTGGGAGGCAGAGCTGCAAACACAGTGTAGGGCAAAAGCACGGTGCGCAGCTGTCTCTGAATTTGTTGTGCGTGGTCAAAGATCGACCCATCGTCCAACGTCAGGTTCAAAAGGTGCTGTATGAACTCCAGGCGGCTGGCATATCGATCGACCACCACGCGCAAGACCGTTTTCCAGTCAATGCCGCTAGTGGTCGCGGGTGGTCGTGTTAGCGCTTGAGCTAGCCTATCTTGGACACGTTCTATATCTTCCGGTGATATTCCTCCTACTCGATGGTCTCCCCGGTCTAAGCCTACACGGCGCGGCACTAAGGAAGGAACAAGAGCGGTGTCGTAGAAAGAGACGAGTTCAGAAAAATCAAGCACAATCCGGGTTTCTCCTGGGTAATTTTCGCGCCATGAAGCACAATGCACCGATTCAAAAGCGTGACGCACTAATGTCCGAGAATAAATCGGACCTACATCAATATATGGACATGATCACTCACTAGCATCGGGGCCCACTGGCAGACCCGTATCCCCTTCGATGTAGAAGCGAGTGGTCTCGATATTTGCGAACGAGACGACCTCCATGTGAGAGGTGAAGTTGCAGATCATGATTTCACTATGACCGTCGTCAATAACAAATCACCAAGGGGCTACGTATGGATTCGCACAAATTCATTTCCATCCTATGATTCACAAATCAGCATCAGGCATTCACGCGCACGCATCTCAGCATCCAACGAACCTCACAAAGCCGTTCACGCCATACTTCTGACCCCATTTACATAGATCCCTTATGCGCTGCCTTTCATTCCACACCCACTCGGGTTTCATTTCCGACCATGCCACGAGATCTTGAGTGTCCAAAGTGCCCTCAGGGAGTTTCGCAGCGCTGTTTCCATCAAAATAGAGCACTTTCATTGGCCGAGTGACTGCAAGGGTGAGGTGCCAGCACCCTGTTTCAATTTTCCCTCTGCAGAAAAGTATGGAGTGGTCTGGCTCTACAGACACCCAATTCCGGACGGTCGGTAGATGGGGACCGAAGAGAGCTCCATGGTAGAGGAGAGTGCCCACGGGAATAGTCCCTGGGATTATTGTATGACCTGCAGGACGTAAACGATGAGTCGCGACCCATTTGATTGGAGTTCAAACATACCAATACGATGACGGGTATTTGCCCAGTGTTGAAGCAAGGAATTGGCCGTTTCAAACACCAGATGTCCTGTCGCATTCACCGCAGGTCCTTCATCAAGGTTCCATTGCCCAAGATCACTTTCGATCCCCGGGTAAAAGGATGAAGGCGTATGACTCGACAGAGGTGTCTGTGCAGTCAGAACCCGTTGAAAGGCAAGAGAAAGCCAGACGGCTGCGGCTTTCCTTGTAAACAGCATGAAGCGCCAAGGGCCTTTGTACGCTTGGTTATATATTCAATGAGCGCATCAGTTACAGTTTGATTCGCTTTACGCAACCTTTTCCGCAGCTAATACTAATGGGGGCGAACGCCGAACTCGATAGCGGTTGAGATAGCAGTTTTCAATGTTCATTCTTCTATAATGCATGGTTGTCTTCCAGTCATCAGATGATCGACAATAGAAATAACGATGGAAGATGAACGCAATATTATTCCCTGAATTCCGCCCAGGTTGTGCACAGCGACAATCACGGAGTACTTAGTCTGCCGTCACATAGTCAGACCTCCATCAGAAGGAACGATCAGTTGAATTTATTCTAGGCTGAGGTACCCACGATCCGGTGGATGTCACGGTCATCAGCATGAAGTTTTTTTTTTCGAAATCAGGGTATAGACAATGACACGGGTATACTGTATAATAGCTGGATGATGTTGCTTCCTAGTATTGTCTATGGAGCCATGCTTCTATTTGTGCCTATTTGGTTTGTAAAGTCGATGTACTTCAACGTCAACGTGAGTAGAAGGGCAGTTTCAATATTCATCTATAGTTCAGGGCGATAATTGTGTTACAGCCATCCACACGTAGTATTTATACACAAACCAACCAACGTAGGAATGCAGATATGTAGAATTGGAGAATGAAAAAGAAATAGCAATATTTCCTGCACTGGCCCTCTGAAACCACGAAGGTGCTTGCCCAAACGGGGAAAAAGTAAGTAACGAGCGTGACTTTGAAAGAAGCGCGACGAGGGGTATCATCGGAAAGGAATGGGTTGTAATTGTCTGGCAAATAACCTGGCGCATGGTGTGGCAGAAGAATAGATAGACAACAGAAAGGAATAATTTCATTCGATATGCAACAAAGCAGGTCGTGAGCGGGGTCGTAAGTGTGCTTTTAATTGAAGGTGCCCATGCTGGACGGCGGTGTTTGCTGGTATACTTGGTACATATATGCCTGGTAGAGGTGCTGGGGGACATTCTGAGTATTGAAGCCTGGCTGACCCATGTTAAGGATGCTACCAGGTGCAAGATTGGGAGATTGATTGCCGTATGGGATGGCAGAGATGGGAGTGGGAGTCATGGAAGGAGGAATCGAGGGAAGTCCGCCATTACGACGAATAGTAGAGGTACGAGGGCTGCTCATGTCCGGAGAGCGAAGGGCAAAAGGATTGAAAGGATCCGAGGAAGGCGAAAACGCAGAAGGTGGCTGAGAGATACGGGCGCGTGGTGCGGGAGCTTGACCATATGCAGGATCAATATGCAGTTGCGGGGGCCCAGACTGGGGATTCTGCCCACCCATCTGCAACGCAGCCATCATCGAAGCCAAACCCTGATCATTCGAAGGGTAGCCTGACGGAAGGCCAGGCACTCCATAGTGATTCGGGTTTTGACCCTTCTTGCCAGGCGGACCATTAGTGGTGTACGTGGGCTGGTAGTTTGGGATGGGAAGACCAACTTCTTCAATCAGCCGACGATACGCCTGGGTAGCGATAACCTTGAGCTCGATTAATACCCGCTTAGTGGCCTCGATATAGGTTGGCTTGTCAATAGGGTCGATGAACGGGCTAGTTAGGATCTTGTGCACAACCGCGACACCGTTCACTTGATCACCCAACACGTCAGTGAGAACATGGTCACCGGGAGACGAGAATAACGCCTGGACGATTTGACGAGATGCTTCGAACTCGATCTTCTGGTTGACAATCCTAAGAACAGTTAAAGATGCCAATTTGTGCGTGCACAGATGCGATAGATGAGGTGTGAAACGAGGCGCGAGAAGGTTGTACCGTGAAGGGAAAGAAGACGTGTCAAGCAACCATGTCAGCAGCAGCGCGCCGTTAGGGTTCGTCGCCAGAGGAATAGAGTTCAAGATCACGGCAGTAGCAATACGACGTTGCTGGCTCAACGT